AAAAAGATGGGCTCAAATTGGTATTTAATGCTATTATTTTTTTGCATGAAATGCATACAAGTTAAATTCTTGAATCTTATATTTACTGTCAAAGAAAAGAATCATAAATTAGAAAAGCTAATTAAAATCAATTGTAAAATTATAAATTAATCTTCAAATAAAGCTATTATTGTAATGAATATTTTAGGTATTAAGTGAAGAAATTGTGAAAACCAAAATCATTATGTGAAACCAAATATTTTGCCTAAATATTATCTACCTAAATATTATGTTACCATTATTTTATAAATGGTAAGTTTTGAATGAGAATGGATTTTTTTCCATCTTTTTGTAAACCTATGATGGATTAGAAATCTAGATAACACATGACTGTGCTGGCTTCTTTTTTTAATATTTATTTATTTATTTTTTAGTTTTTGGTGGACACAACATCTTTGTTTGTATGTGGTGCTGAGGATTGAACCTGGGTCACACGCATGCCAGGAGAGCGCACTACCGCTTGAGCCACATCCCCAGTCTGTGCTGGCTTCCTAAAGGGAGCAACAAGAACTAAAAGGAAATGGACAGAAAAATTAGTAAATTCTCTAAGAAAAAATTTATTGCTTGAAATTGCTGACATGCTGCAAGGATGTTGGTTCTTGTTTTATTTGAAATACAGAAAAGGAAGACAATTCTACTTTGGAGTTGTTTTTAAATTATGCAATAGGAACATAAAATATAAACAATGAAAACAACAGATAATATTCTTCAAGCTCTTAGAATATGCTAGGCAATATATTACATTTTATGTATACTTTAACACATTTCTTTGTCAGTAATATGTGAGAATTATTATTATTCCCATTTTACAGATAGTAAGTCCATCCCTAGAAGTTAAATAATTTATTCAAGGTCATATGATTTACATGTGATGGTGAAACTGGGACTTTTAGACCTGAATTCATCTCATTCTAAAGAATTCATGTCACAGTGTGAGAAAAAAGTTGAAAGAGAAATTTGTAGAAAAGTTCAAAGACTCAAAAAGAATTTTACAGCTGGAGCCCATAAACTACTTTCTAGATTTGGCTTGCAAAGCAAGAAGAAATGTTTTAGCTTTAACAAGGTGACAAGTTTTGTGGGAGAGAGAAAGCTTGAGGAAAAAGGGCTTTCAAAATATCAAAGCAGTAAGGGGTTGGGCTATGGCCATGGAAGTCTAAGATACAAAATCTTTGAAAGGTTAAAAGATTTCTATGGAATAATAGGCTAAGCCCATTACTTTGGTTAAGCAACTATTAAA